ATTGGGAGTTTGGGATTAATATATATACACTACTAAATATAAAACAGATAATCAATAGGACCTACTGTGTAGCACAGGAAACTATATTCAATAGCTTGTAATAATCTACAGTGGAAAGGAATCTGGAAAAGAACAGATCTGTCTATATGTGTATACACACACACACACACACACACGTATATAACTGAATCACTTTGCTCTACACCTGATATTAACACAGTGTTGTAAATTAACTACACTTTAATTAAAAGCTCAGTAAAAACTTGGCCCTCCTACCCCACCCGCAGCCATGAGAGGGGACAGAGGGCCCTGCCCTCACCTGGGAGTTGAAATCCAGGCCGTGGCTCCTTGCTTCCAGTCCAGCACTTGAGGACCTTGCAGTCACAGCCTCTGCCCAGCACCCCCTCCCCACTGTTGTGCAGTTCCCCTCCTTAACTGGGTCAAGGCGTGGCTGCCCCGTTTTCTTGAGCACTTCTCTCTTGCTGTACTAGAAATGCAAGGCTGCAAAGTAGAAGGACTGCTTTGTACTACCCCATCCGGTCTCTTCTCCCATGGCCTCCATCCTTCATTCTGCACCTGGGGTATATAGTACTACTGGGTTAGCCACAAAGTTCATTTGGGTTTTTCTGTAAGATGGTCCGGAAAAGCCCGGATGAACGTTTTGGCCAACCCATAACAGGCAGAGACTGAGCTGGCTCCAGCAGAGGGTGGACAAGCCATGCTCTGCCTCCTCTGACACAGGAATTCACAGCTTGAAGGAACTCAAAGTGCCTCAGTTTGCCCCCAGTGATGTCACTGCCCCCAGGTGTGGGTGAAGATGTAGACACCAGCTCTTTATGTACTGGAATCAGGTAGGGTCCAGGTGAGGGTGTTAGTGGAGGGGAACTTGCTCTCCCTTTATGCTCGCCTCGGTGGGGTGCCCTTGCCCCTAGACGAGTGAGCGGGCAAATTCTCGGTGCCCCTGCCGGCTGCAGCTTGAGTACCTGGGACAGAATGAAGCAGCCAGCTCCTCAAGATCCATCCTGAGGCTCCTCCCCCAGCCTCCATGGACATTCAACTCCATCTCTGTTCTACATCCTAGCCAGCTGGAGCCCACATTTGCTTTCTTTTTTTAAGCATTTGTTTTATTAAAAGTCATTTATTTTAATTGCTTAATATACAAATACAAATACAAATAGTACAGATAAATTCCCTCTTGACTTTCCTCTCCGGAGATAATGGGGATTCTGTTATCAGTTTGGTGTTTATCTTCCCAAATCCTTTTTTATGACTTTACATACATGAATACATATATATAACTGCTTTGTCCAATTTGTTAAATGTAAATGATATACTATGCATTGTTTTGCAATCTGTTTTTCCCCTATTATTTATGTATTTATTTGGCTATGCCGGGTCTTAGTTGTGGCAACCAGGATCTTCAGTCTTCATTGCGGCATGCGGGATCTAGTTCCCTGACCAGGGATCAAATCCGGGCTCCCTGCATTAGGAGTGTGGAGTCTTAGCCACTGGACTAGCAGGGAAGTCCCTGCAATCTGTTTTTTTTTTAATTAGTTTTAGAGATCAGTCCCACCAGTGTATTTATCTTTCTATCCACGTTCCTTTTTTGTGTGTGTATGTGTAATTGACATATAACATTTTATTAGTTTTAGGTATACAACATAGTGATTCAATATTTGTATATATTGGGAAGTGATTACCATAATAAGTCTAGTTAAACATCTGTCACCATACATAATTACATTTTTTGTGTGTGTATGGTGATGAGAATGGCTAGGATTTATTCTCATAGCAACTTTTAAATAATGTAATATAGTATTATTAGAGTCATCATGCTGTACATTATATTCCCATAATTTATTTGTCTTATAACTGGAAGTTTGTACCTTTTGACTCCCTTCATCTATTCTGCCTACCCCCACTCCCTTATCTTTGGCAACCACCAGTCCATTCTCTGCATCTATGAGTTCAGTTTATTTTAGATTTCACATATAAATGAGATCATATGGTATTTGCCTTTCTCTGTCTGACTTATTTTCCTTAGCATAATGCCTTTAAGGTCCATCCATGGTGTCCCAAATGACAAGCTTTTCTTCTTTTATATAGCTAAATAATTATCCGTTGTGTGTGTGGGTGTGTGTGTATCACATTTTGTTTGTCCGTGCATGCATTGATGGACATATAGGTTGTTTCTGTATCATGGCTATTGCAAATAATGCTGCAGAGACCACAGAGATGCAATATCTTTTCGAATTAGTGTCTTTGCTTTCTTCAGATAAATACCCAGGGGTCGGATTACTGAATATTTTCAGAAAACTGAATATTATAGTTCAATTTTTAATTGTTTGAGGAACCTCTATACTGTCCTCATGAAAAAAAAAATAGTGCAGAGACTTCTTGGGAAAGGTGAGGCTGTTCCAGTCTGTAATGTTTCCTTTGATGGGCAGGGTAGGCAGTTTCCAGGGCTCCCTGACCAGCAGGAGTGCGGCAGTGACCGTCATGGCTGTACCTCTCTGAGGCTGAGATTCCCTTCTCCTCTGCTTTGCGCTGTACCCTTGCCTCCTTCCGCTTCCTTCCCCACCTCTGAGGGTCGTCAAATTCGCAGCCACATCCAGTGATCAAGGCTTTGGCAATTCCTTCATAAATCGAAGTTCCAGTCAACTCCGGGCTTCAAAATCTCCCACTTTACAAGTCAGTAAGCAGATTTCTGAGCCTTCCATTAGGGGACAAGTTCTAGAGCCCTAACCCCTGACCCCTTCTCTGGCTGGATTCCCAAGGATGCCAGGGCTTTTTTTTTTTTTTTCTGGGTTGGGTGGCAGTCCTGCCATAGCAGAAGTGGGCTATGTGATTTAGGCCAGCAAAGCCAGTCACACGACTGGGCACTTCTCCCTGACTGTAGTTGACACGCGTCATACTCCTATCAGGATGTATCCTTTTCTGCTCAAGTCTGATAAATTTCCTTTTCTCTCATAAAAGGAAGTTGGAGTTGTCACTTCCATTTTTAGCAGTGGAGGGGAGTTGGCTCGCAGTGTCTGGGGTAAGGGATTGTGGGAGGGCCAGCTAGGCACAAGAACGAGGACGTTATCTCTCGGTAGCTGAGCCAGGAATAAGAAGGAGGACCATAGTCTTAAGAAAAGAATCTTCTATAGTCAAGTGAAGTTACCCAGAAGATGGCGAAGCTTCCAGATGCTGTCTGCTAGAGCGGTGGCTGCGCTATATTTTCTTCAGGGGGATACCCCGTTCATGTGACAGACCTCACAGGCTCTGCTTCAGTGGGGAAAACATGGAATTGTGAGTCTGGAGACGTTGGCCTGAATCCATATGACTTCCTCAACCTCTCCAAGCCTCAGTTTCCACATCTGTAAAGTAGGGAGAGTATCATCTACCCCCACCCCCAAATGGTTGCTGGAATGGTCAAATGAGATCACTTAGATTTAAAAAACCTTTGAAAACCTAGCAGAGTGTCCGCGTGTCATATGATGGAACTAGAATCTGATTCATCTGTAACGCAGCCAGCATGAGGTCATGCTGGAAGGATAGGAGTGCCAGGGGACGGGGGAGAAGTATGTCCACTGGAGGGAAGGGCCTTGAGTCCGGGGCTCTGGGTTTGTCTGCTCCCTTTGTTTCAGTTCAAGGCTCACCAGGCAGCCTCTGGTTGCTAATCTGCTTCCCTACTGACCTTGATCTGGGCCTCAGGACAGGAGCCCCCTCTGGGATATCAGGCAGGTTCATGTTGGTTGTTTATGGCTCATCTAACCCTGCACTATGTCTCATTAACCCCTTTCCACTAGGGAGAAAATCAAAGCTCAGAGATGCTCGGGGCTGGCTCAGAGGCACTCTGTTGGGAAGCAGAGAAGCCAGGGTCTGTCTGACCCCAGCCTCCCGTGTCCCCCCACACCACACACCCTCCCAGCAGCATGGCCTCGACCCTGGAAAGGCATCACTGTAGCTTCTGAATGGGCAGTGGAGACTTAACCCTGGGGTCCTGTTCCTCATCGCCTTCCTTCCAGCCCGAGCCCCACCTCTACCCTCCAGTGACTTGAGAATAATCAAGCTCCTGAATTCCCCAGACCTTGAGCCTGTGTGACTCAGCGGCCCCGAAGGAGAGGGCCCCTGAGGTCCACCTGCCACCCGCAGACATTGCTTCACACGGATAGTCTTTCTTAACAGCCATGAACCTCGCCAGCTGACAGGGTCAGGAGCCTGCCAGCACGGCTGGGGCTGGAGGGCGGATGGCAGCCAAGCCCGCTGCTGGGGTTTGTGTAGCTGCCCTACAGATAGGCTGACTTGTCCTCGCTCTCCCAGGGAAGCCCTCAGTCCCTGGAAAATCCGGGTGGTTAGTCCCCTCCCTGCAGACCCGCGGAGAGAGATGGTGGACAGGCCAAGGGGGTGCTCCATTTGCCCTGTAGGTTCACCCTCTGACCTGGACACTTGGCAGAAGTGGGAACCTGTCACTGTCTTCACTCTAAAGACCCATGAATGGGCTCAGAGCATGCAACCATCCAGGGAGTCCGGCTTAGCTTGCACTCACGTGGCCAGGTCGTGTGGACAAGGGAATAACAGTTTTAGGGAAAAGTAGGGCTGGACTTTCTCAGCTCTCTTCTCCTTTTCGAAGACTATCCATCCTGCCTCCTTGGCCAGGACCCCGCCCACCTCTGTCTGGCCCTCATCCAGTGCTCTCCTTTGGCACCGAGAGGTTACCTCTGGCCTAGCTCTTACAAGCACTGCGTTTTATGGCGAGCACGTGGTTGGGGCTCGAGGGGACACCATGACCTTTGTCCTGCTCCTTCAGCCTCTAACACTCAGAAGGTCGGTGCATGGGACGTCGCAGGTCACACCAATGAGTGGCCAGTGGGAGGAGTCACTCTCACTGGCCACTGCTGGCAGCTCAGAGCCTGGACTTTGAAGGGGCCATGAAAACCAGTTTGTTCCCTGGTGGTGATGAGCAGTCTGGGAGCTACTGTCAGGGTCTGACTCAGGCAGAATAGCAGCCCCTAAAGATGTCCACCTCCCAACCCCCAGAACTGTGAGTATGTTACCTTCCATGGTTAAACGGACTTTGCAGGTATGATAAAGTTAAGGATCTTGGCATGGGGAGATTACCCTGGCTTATCTGGGTGGGTTCATGTCGACACTGAGGGATCCTTATATCAATAAGAAGAAGACAAGAGGTCAGAGAGCACAGGCAGCGATGTGACAACAGGCAAAGACTGGAGCCATGTGGCCACCGCTGCCTTCCAGCAGCATCTAGAAGCTGGATGAGTCAAGGAACCGACTCTCCCCTGGAACTTCTAGAAGGAACCAGCTCGCCAAATCCTTGACTTGAGCCCCCTGAGATTCATTTCACACTTCTGGTCTCCAGAACTGAAAGATGATTTGTGTCCCTGAATGCACTGAGTTTGTGGCACTTTGTCATAGCAGCCACAGGAAACTCACACAGTGTGGTGCAAGTGATGTAGGATCACTGTTGCCGAGGTTCTGAAAACACAGGGGCCTCCCTTTGCTCAGTGAGGTGGGGTGTGGCTCAACTTAGCATGAAGCCTGGAGTACACACCCAGTGCTCAGTGGAGGGGGCCCCCGGGCCTCATTCCCGTCCTGTTGCATAGGAACAAGTTGGTGCCCTGAAAGGGAATTGATCAGACTTCTTTTTTTTTAACTTTTTATTTTACATTGGAGTAGAGATTAACAGGGCTTCCCTTGTAGCTCAGCTGGTAGGGAATCCACCTGCAATGCAGGAGACAGGAAGATCCGCTGGAGAAGAGATAGGCTACCCACTCCAGTATTCTTGGGTTTCCCTGGTGGCTCAGCTGGTAAAGAATCTTCCTGCAATGCAGGAAACCTGGGTTCTGTCCCTGAGTTGGGAAGATCCCATGGAGAAGGGAACGGCTACCCACTCCAGATTTCTGGCCTGGAGAATTCCATGGACAGCATAGTCCACTGGGTTGCGAAGAGTTGGACGTGAGAGATTAACAGTGTTGTGATAGATTCAGGTGGACAGCAAAGGGACTCAGTCATACATATACATGTATCCATTCCCCCCCAACTCCCCTCCCATCCAGGCTGCCACATAACAGCACAAGAATGATCTGACTTCTGATCTAGGTCCTTGCTACTCAGAGTTGGTCCCCAGAGCAGCAGTGCCAGCGCCGCTTGGAAGGTCATTTAAACTACAGACATACTGAGTCAGAATCTGCAGTTTCACAAGATCCCTAGGTGGTTCGCATACACAACAGTGCTTGAGAAGTGCTGACCCTGAGAGGTCCCTGGGTCCTCAGATCATCAGTGAGGCAGATGCAGCTCTTACCAGCAGCAGGCAGAGCAGACAGACAGGCTGAGTGAATTGTTAAGGCACACACCACTGGTGAGTGCAGGGACCAAGACCCACACACTGGCAGGTCTGACTCCAGAATCAGTATCTGTGCCAGCATTCAGCAAAGTGTGATATAGAAGTGACCCAGGAGCACTGCCTCTGAGTTCCCCTGCTTCCTGCCCCTTCCTGCCCATCCCCTGAATCATGCTCAGCTTTTTTTTTAAATTTATTTATGGCTGCACTGGGTCTTCGTTGCTGTGTGTGGGCTTTCTCTCGTTGTGGCAAGTGGGGGCTACTCTTTATTGTGGTGCTCAGGCTTCTCATTAGAGTGGCTTCTCTTTGTTGCTGAGTACAGGCTCTAGGCACACAGGCTTCAGTAGTTGCAGCATGAGGGCTCAGTAATTGAAGTACATGGGCTTAGTTGCTCCATGGCATGTGTGATCTTCCGGACCAGGCATGGAACCCATGTCCCCTACATTGGCAGGTGGATTCTTAACCACTGGACCACCAGGGAAGTCCCATGTTCATCTTTATCTTTCTATTCCTCTCGCTGCTCACCATTTTTCCTCCCTCCTTGCTCCCCCTCCCTTCCTCCTTCCTCTTCATTTCCTTATTTCTTTCCTTCCTTCTTTTCTCACTCACTGGGCGCTCCTCTGAGCCGGGCCCTAGTGTATAGGAAAAACCTTGCTTTCAAGGGACACACCCCAGTGATCCCCACACCTGGTTGAACATGACAAGCACCTGGGGCTTCAACTTAAGTTTCTGACACCTGGCCCCACCCCAGACTCCCTGAGTCAAATTCTCATCGAGTGGGGCCTGGGCTTGAATATTTTGAAATCACTCCTGTGGTGATTCAGATGCAGCAGATCCACAGATGAGGGCTGAGAAAAAGTGTTGAGTACAACAGTTAACCAAGAAAAAGGGGCAATCAACCCTGGTGAATGGGGCAAGGAGGGTCCACTGCTAAGGAACAGGAGGACTTTACAGAGGAGGTGACTGAAGTGGGTTTTGAGGGATGCCTAGGAGTTTCCCAGGAGGACAAGGTTTGGATAGGGGTGGGAAAGGTTTTTTCGGTCAAGAAAACAGTTTTTTTCAAAGGCATGGAGACAGGAAATAGTGACATATTTGGGAAACTGTAAGTAATTTAGTGTAGTTGAAGGGTCAGTCAGAGGAGAGGGCTGGAGAAAAGCCAGAGTCAGGCCATGAGGTCAAGAGGAGGGTCTGGACTTGGCCCTGCAGAGACGAGGTGTCCAGACTCTCCCCAGGGGCACCTTCTCTGGACCAGTGGGCTTCACCTGCTGTATGAATTCTGGCCTTGTCTCTTATTATTCCTTTCTCTTGAGCTCTCACTCTCTGTTGGCAGCCTTGTCACCTGGGTGTTAAAGTGAGCCTTCATTTCCACTTTTTACTCTCACAATCATGGAGCTGGTCTGCTCCCTTGACCTGTGAGAAAACTGAGCCCCACAAAGAGAAAGTGACTGAAAGGGTCCCTCAAAAAACCTGGAGCAAAGCCCAACCTGGGGCCAGCTGCTTACTGTTGGCTGATTGCAACCTTGTGTACTTGTGTTCTCAGGCCAGCCTTCTGTGTCTTTGCCAAAGGAATGAATCAGGAAGCAACCTCAGACTGTTGAGGGGTGGGACAGGTGAGGGCTTCAGCTCCCCGGAATCTCCTAAGCACTCTGACTTCTTGGCCTGCCTGTGGGCCCGTGGCTGGGGGTAACTGCTCCTAACAATGGCCACCTGGAGGGCTCAGCCCTCTTTATTCAGAGGTCGCATCACCCTGAGCATGAAATAGGACTGTGTCCCGTGAGTGGGAGGCCTGGCGAGACTGCAGCAGGCTTGCTGAGGGGTGGCTCAGGGAGCCCTACGGCCAATAGTACCGACCTTTGCCAGCGAGCTTGGACCTCAGCCACAGTCTCTCTGGGCCTCCTCTTCTAGCAACACAGTCCCAGCTGTCTTTATCTTTCCCCAGATGACCCTTTTTGTCCCTTAATCATCATTTTTCGCTTCTCTGCACCCTTTCCCCACATTTTTTCAAATGTCACAGTCCCACAAGGACCTGTATTCTGCCAACATCTAAGACCAGAGCACATGAAACCAAAGCAGGTCATTCAGTCCTGAGTCCATCCACTAAGACGACGCTTCCCAAGGGGCCTGGGCTTACTGATGCTGAGATGGGTAATACAGAGAAGCCACGAGGCTCGGGTTAGATCCCCAGCCCTGCTTCTGAGCTGTGGAACCTGGAGTTGGATACCGAACCTCTCTCAACCTTCATTTTCTTCTCTTTTTCAAATGGGGCCAATACCACCACCCACTCCCCTGGAGGAAGCTGGGCTCTCCCAGTTTACTTGCCTACCCCTGCCCCGTGCCCAGGGTTGTTGTGGGCATGAAGCCAATGTGGGCTCCTTTACCTTCTGAACAACCTCATTCACTCCCAGCCAGCTGCTTTCTGTGAAACTTGCAAAGCTTCTGATAAAATGCTTTTAGTGACCTAATACGCAGCATTGGTACTTAGATGAGAGCCACATGACTGTGGTCAGTCTCCTTCCTCTCTGAGCCTCTGTTTGTTCGTCTGTAAAATGGGGATAGTCATCCCAGAAATGGCTGACCTGGATATGTAAGACCCGGATATGACATAGCTGACCGACAGATGTCATCCCTTATGGGATCGTGCTTCAAGGCCACAGTGACCCATCCTGGCCAGCTGGAGCCCTTCCCTGGAAACTACCGAGCTGGGTTCAGTCAGGAGAAGCCCTTTCTTCTGTGGGCAGAGCTGTAAGGGCGAGAGTCTGAAGGCTGCTTGGAGGCCATTTTCCTCTATCGCATGGGAACCTGGGTCTGTGGTGAAGGATCAGCTCCACAAACCGAGGGACAGTCTCAGAGGCAGACAGAAAGCCTGAATGCATCTGAGTTCCTGTTTCCAGTCAGATGTGAGCAGTCTCTATCCCTGCCCTCTCACCCTTTGCACTTGATGATTATTTTCTAGAAACTTTCCACCATAGTTTCACCCATTAGCTTAATCTAGTTCAAATCGTGATTTTTGTCTCTTATACCCAGACAGAATGATAGATCAGGCTTGTGCTATCAACCCTATTTTCAAGTGAGGAAACTCAGGCTCAGAGAAAGTTCCAGAAGCTGAGGCTTGCCTGGAGTCACTTGGGGAATGAAAGCAGAGCTGGGATTTGAACTTGGGACCATCAGAGCCCAAAGCCAAGCCTTTCCCTCTGGTCCACGCTGTCTCCTGTAGGCCATGTCAGGCTTCTGGGAGGAGCACGTTTGTTTCTTTCCATATCAGCAGGAGTCTGGCAGGAAGACAGAAATCATGGCAGAATTTCTTCAGAGGAAATTCAATATAAGTATTTATATTAAGCAGAAAAAGAAACCTGAAGAAAAGAACTATAGAAAGCAGCTTTCACCTCCTGGGAAGAGGCTGGGGTACCAGAGTTTAGGAGCTCGGAGGGGCCCGTGGAGCTGGAGCTTAGACACTGGGGGGGTGGGAGGGGCACCCAGCTCTGTGGGTGCTGCTGAGCTGGCATGGCAGGGCTGGTTCTGAGGTGATGAGCCCAAAGCCTGGGCTTTGGGGCTCCCCCTCAGTATACTGTACGAAGGGAACAGGGAACAGGCTTCCTACAGTCTACGAGGCTGACTCCAGGGTGCTGGAGGAACACCCGTACCCCACCCCAGCTCCCGCAATACTTTGTCTAGGCCTTCTGCAG